GTCCTGGACCAGAGCCCGCTCGGCTCCGCGGCCGGCTTCGGGATCAACGGGCTGAAGCTCGACCGCGCCGCCACCACCCGCCTGATGGGCTTCGCGCGGACGCAGGCGCCGCGCCGCCAGCCGCGGCTGCCTCATTCCGCCGCCTGGGTCTCGTATCCCATCCCCACAACCATTCAATACTGGATATCGGAAGAAGAGGTAGCGGTAAAAGCATCAACTTCTGGAGTTCCGAGCGGATTTCTTGGATCCGCGCTGGGCCCCGTTGGCGGCGCCTTCAGCGCCGCCCCTGACGCGCCTCGCGGGTCAGGGAGGGAGGCCCAGCGCGGATCCAAGAAATCCGCGCGGAGCTCTAGAAGTTTCTGCTCGTGCCGTTCCCGGCTCCTCCCAGTCTGCGTGCTATCTCTCCTTTCCCCAGTTGCTGTGCGAGCGGAGTGCCGTGTCTCCCGCATTTTTTTTCTGTTCTCTTTCTCCGGACGAGCAGAATCCCACTGTATGATGCTTGACGTTTTTGGATGGGGCCCCCCCATCGGGGCGTTTTTCTTTGTTTCTCGAAAGGGTGCTCCCGCTGGAGCGTTGGCCTCATTTCAGCTTCGGCGCCTGGCCCCCGTCGCCCAGAGTCTCACCTCAGCTCAGGCTGCATCTCTGGATCCGATTCTCCCCCCCCGTCGCTGCCGCCCCCCCCTCTCTGTTGCCTCCTCGGCCTTCCCCTCGTCCTTCATGCTTCTCCCGCTCCTCGTGCTCCCGCTGCTGCTGCTGGTCCTCCTTCCTCCTCCCCGTGCTCATCCGCCACCTCCTCCCTCAAGGCACACCTCTCCCACGGATTGCGCGTCACGGTGGGGTCATTTTGGAGATCCAGGTCCGCTGGGACACTCATCGGCGGATAGAGAACGAACAACGCAATGGGAAAGGATGGGTGGGATGGATCGGATGTCAGGTATGGCGCGCGCACTCCTAGTTTGCCATCTCCCTCTCTCGTCTCCCTTCCTGCCTTTCCTGTCCTTCCTCCCTCCTACCTCCCTTCCTTCCCTCTTCGCGTTTTGGAGTGCCACTATCCCTGTGACATATGCATCTCTCTCTATATATGTATGTTTGAATATTTGTATGCATACTGTGCCGTGATGAAAGATTGCCCCATTTTGACGGGCCGGCAGAAGTGCATCCTGCGTCCGCAATGCGAGCGCACGTCTGTGCCGTGATGACAGGTTGCCCCATTTTGACGGGTCGGCAAAAGTGCATCCTGCGTCCGCAATGTGAGCGCACGTCGCTAGTCACCCCGTTAGGGACGTGGAGCCTGGTACAATGTTACGGGGAGGTGCCTCGCTTTCGGGGCGGAGTTCGAACCTGGGCTGTCGGGGCGCGGTTCGAACCTGGATTTGGTTCCTTAAATTAAAATTTTATTAAGCCAAACGGGATGGCGGTTCGAAAACGGCAAACCGCGTGGGACATCCTCACAAAATTGGCTCTCAAGACGGTTCGAACTCGGTTCGAAACAATAGAATGCGGTTCGAAACAAAAGCAGAATGAGCGTTTCGCGTGGGGCTTCCCTCAAAATACGGCGTTGGACCCAGTTCGAAACAAAAGGATGGCGGTTCGAAAACGGCAAACCGCGCGGGACATCCTCACAAAATCTGCTGTCCTGATGGTTCGAACTCGGTTCGAAAGAAGGGGATGGCGGTTCGAAAACGGCAAACCGCGTGGGACATCCTCACATAAATTCTTGTTCTCACGGTTCCTACTCGGTTCGAAAGAAGGGGATGGCGGTTCGAAAACGGCAAAAAAGGGCAAAACTTTAATCACGCCCATGTATAGCTAGGTAGGTAGGTCGGTAGGTCAGCAGGTCGATCGGTAGGTAGGTAGATCGGTAGGTCGGTATACAGTTCGTAGGTATGTAGGTAGGTCGGTCGGTAGATCGGTTGGTCGGTAGATCGGTAGGTATGTAGGTAGGCGGGCATGTATGTTTGGTAGTTTGGTTTTGCTTCCTTCGTTTGCATGTGTGTACACATGTAGGTATGAATGATTGTATACATACATGTCTGTATGTATCTATGCGTGTATATATGCACGCATGTGTATATACTAGGCATACTTGCACGTATGCGTGTATGTATACACATATTTGTATATTTGCATGCATACATGGCTGTATGTATGCATGTATGTATGTCATGTAATGTAATGTAATGTAATGTAACGTAATGTAGTGTAATGTAACGTAATGTAGTGTACTGTAATGTAATGTGATGTAATGTATTGTAATGTAATGTAATGTACTGTAATGTATTGTAATGTAATGTAATGTAATGTAATTTAATGTAATGCAATGTAATGTAATGCAATGCAATGCAGTGCAATGCAATGCAATGTATGTATGTATGTATGTATGTATGTATGTGTGTATAAATGCATGTTTACATGCATGTATGCATGTATGTATGTATGCATGCATGCGCACATGCATGCGTGCATGCATGCGTGCGTTCGTGTGTGCATGCATGCGTGCATCTATGTACCCGTGTCTGAATGAGTCTATGTCTGTAAGCATGTACGGCATGTGCGTATGTGTTTACGCTGTATGCATGCATGCATATATGCATGTATACATGTATGCATGTATGTATGAACGTACAATGTACGTACGCATGTATGCATGCATGTGCATGTATGTATGCATATTCCTCTTCCAATATTTTTACAAGCCTGGGCGGGAGGAAAACCCGCCCCCCCCAAAAAAACCGGACTCCCGGGATCTGGGGCTTTGGGACCCTCCGGACGGGCCTCGAAGCGGCCCCCGGGGCCTCGCAGGGCGTTTTGCCAAGCCTTCCCAGCACACCTAGGGCGATCAGGGGGGTCATCGGAGACGTCCCAGAGACCCCCAAGACAGCACAAGAGCGCTCCAAGAGTGACCGACGTGACCTCAAGATGGCCCAAAAGGCCTCCAGGGCGGCTCCAAAGAGGCCTCCAAGAGCACTCCCAAGAAGGCCCCAAGAGGCACAAATCTTTGATTTTCTGTTGGTTTTTGCTGAATTTTGGGGTTCTCCTCTTTTCGGCTTCCCGACGCTCCAAGACGGCGGTCTTCTGGGCGTCCGAAGCCGCCTGGGAGGCTCCAACATCGCCCCACAACCATCCGAAAGGGCTTCCAGGCAGTCCAAGAGAGCCCCAAAACGGCACAACACGGGTCCAAGATGGCCCTCAGAGAGCCCCATGGCGGCCCAAGATGGCCCCAAGACACCCTCCGAAGCATTCCAAATCGTGATCCGGTCGTTTTAGGGAGACCGCGGTTGGAGGCAGGGTGGCCCGAGGAAGTCCCCAGAGGCCCCCAGAATACGCCCAGGAGGCCTCCAGAAGGCCTTAAGAAAGCCTGAAACAACTTTTGTGAGGCCCCCAGAGGCTCTCCAAGGGGGAGCCTCCGCAAAAAAGAGCTGAGGAGGATGGGGAGAATGCGCAGGGTACGGCGAAAAGAAGGACAAATAATCATGGAGGAAGGATAACGAATAACATCATTATAGCGGCGATGCCGGACAAGGCAACAAGGAGTTATCTTTAACTTGTCGGCTTGACCTTCCTGCTATTCTGCCTACATACCAACCTTCAAGGACCAAGGTGCATGGCGCGAAACGCCACTGCAGTCTTGTATATATATACACATACTGGCATGTCTGTATGCATGTATGCATGTATGTATGCATGTATGTGTGTACACATGTATGCATCTATCTATGTTTATACATTCATGTCTTTATGCAGGTAGGTCTTATGTGTGTATGTATGTATGTATGTATGTATGTATGTATATATGCATGTATGTATGTATGTATGTATGTATGTATGTATGTATGTATGTATGTATGTATGTATGTATGTATGTATGTATGTATGTATGTAGGTGTGTATGTACACGCATGTCTATGTATGTATATGTATGTTATGCATGTATGCATATGTACACATACATGCACACCTCTATCTTCCCCCCCTCTTCTCTCTCCTCTCCTCACCCCCTCTCCGACGGGCCGATTGGATGGGCCATGCTTGCCACGCTTGGCCCTCCTCGTCTTCCTCCCACTGTTCCCCCCTCTCTGGCTGACTCGTTCACCCCCTGCTTCCAGCCCTGCCCCGCTATTCCCCATCCCTCCGTGGGCCTGAACCTGTGGCCTCCAGCTTCGTTCTGTAGTCTTCCCACGCCATCTCATGTCTGCTTCCGCTCGCCCTTCGTCTCCTCCCTCCGCCCATTCTCCTTCCCACTCGCTTTTCTTCTTGCTCCTCCCTCTCTTTCTCGCCCCCATTCCTGATGCCTACCGTCGCAAGACTGGCTCGTGGGCGTGTTTGCGTTCTCACCCGCAGACGGTCCTCTTTCTGCTCTTTAATCCTGGCCCCTCGGCTGCAACGAAGACGAGCTTCCCTGGTTAAATGTTCGCTCCGCCCCCCACTCCTCTCATTCCTCTCGTTGCTCTGTTCTCTTTCCTCCGCTTTCTCGTTTCCTCCTGCCGGCACGGCCCGCCAGTCGCCCTGCGTGGCCGCGCAGACAACGGTCTGTGTTCGCAATGCTTTTTGCAGAGTGTGCGCCCCCTGGTGCCAGACCAGCTGTACAGTCGAGAATCTGGTTAAGAAGCCTCCTCCCGAAAAGCTGGGCCAGTGTTTTTTTGGCCAACTTGCGGTAAAGCTGGCCCAGTCTCTTGAGCGTTACCAGCAGAAACTAGCCCAGGTTTGGTTCAAGAATCCCTTGGGAAGTTGACCCAGATTTCTTAGATGCTTGATCATAGTTTCGGCTGTATTTCAAGAGGGAGACGGTGCTCCTTCACGCAAGAGTGCGCACAGCGCCGCCGCGCGCGGGGGCGTCGGCCTCCTCCCTCTCCTCTCCCGCCTCGGCCAGGAGAGGATGCACGCCTCGGCAACGCGCACATCCGCGTGCCACGAGCGCCGGCACCTCCAAGGTCTTCCTCCTCAAGCTGGTGGCCCTGCTGTCTTGACGCAGCTGCATGTTCTTCCTCGGCGCTCGCCGGCCCTCACGGTCTGAGCGGGCCCCGCGTCTTCCTCTTCTCGCGTTCTCTTCTTTTTCGCCTTCGTGCCTCATGTGCACCCTACGGCTTGCTGGCCGACGCTGGACTGTCTTGGACCAGCTGGCGCCCGCGGACTAACAACGTGTCACGAGCGAGGGAGGGGGAGGCCCCCGTGCGAGGGGGCAGCGGGCTCGGCGGGAGCTGGCCCGGATGCGTCTCGAAGTGCGCCCGCGGCTGACGTCGAAAGCGACAGCGAGGCCGAAGTGCGCAGGAAGGAAAACGGTCCGCCCTGTATGCTCGGTGGCGATGCGCAGCGATTGAAGTGCAGACCACTGTGCCGCCAGCCGCTGCCGTCGAGAAGCTCTGTTCGATGCAGACCTGTGCGGCCATTCGCGTTACCCCACGGAAACAGAAGGGCTTGTGGAGCAAGGCGCCGTGGCGGAACCAAAAACGCTCACAATGGTGTCAGGAAGCCCTGCTCCTTCTACAAAACGTTTGAAGATCGCCGCAATGGGTTTAGCGTTCTTTCGGGAGGGCCTGCGTGGGAGTTTTCGTTGTCGCCGTCCCAGGAGACGGCAATGACTGGCTGGGGCGAGCCATCCTAGAGCCGCGACGCCGTCCCCTGCAGGGCTGCTGCCCCCAGTCTGCCTCCATCGGCGTGTTTCGCGCGCGCAGCACGTTGATCTCCAGTGCCAATTGCCCCCGAGGGCGATGTCCAGCCAATGCAATTTGGAGTGTCTAGTTACGGAAGGTTTGTGTCGTGTCGAGGTGGCGGCGACCCCGCCGCGGGCGTTTAATGTTGAACGCCGCCAATGGCCCAGTCTCGGCCAATACGACACGATCCGGCGATCAAAAAGCCGCCGGTCGTTCAAGGTTGAGCGGTCTACGTGGTGTTTTCAAACCATCTCCGAAGTCGTCACGGCACGAACCAACCGTATGCTTTCGGAGAGGCGACGTGTGCATGATGCCTTTGCCGCCGAGTTCAAAGCATATTATGATAAGCGCGTGCCAGAATGGCGTGAACATGGCGTGCATCATGTGGGCAGTGCGGTGTCGTTGCGGAGGACGAGTTGCGCGAGGAGCTGCAGGCAACCCCAAGTCGTGAAACGGGTGAGTCGGACGGCGAAGACACTCACAAGTTCACCTCCGACCATGTGTGCAACCGTTTGTACCATGGTTGCGAATGTATTTAGAATGCCTGCGTACGAGGGTCAGCCTCAGGATTTCTCCGAATCGTTGTTGGTCACGGTGAATAAGCTTTACTTTGGGGATGTCCACGTTGATTCGGCACCAGAAAGCAGGTCGGGCAGCTCATGGATCTCATGACGTCGGGATCCGTATAGAAGGTGCGAAAAGCGGGCGCGCCTGCTCACCGCATGGCTGCAGCTCCGCATTTGTTGGCCCACTCTCTTTTCCTCCTTCTCCACTGCCACGAAATTTGGCTCAGCGTGTCGTTCCGCCGTTTCTGGCCCACCACGGTGCAGCGCGACACGCTGTCCACGGCCTAGCCCCCCAGGCGTCACCGTCCCGAGCTTCCCCGAGCCTCCCGCCCCGCGGAGCAGAGAGGCACGCCATCCGCCCGCAAGGTGTCGCGTTTCGCCAGGGCCGCCGCCGCGACACGCCGTGCAAAGGTTCCCAACCGTGCCCCCAGTCTCCTCTTCTTCTGTCCGCGCGCACCTGCGGTTCCGAGCGCGGCAGAGCCGTGGCCGCCACCGCGGGCCGAGCCCGTCCACGCAGGCCAAGCCCGCCCACGCAGGCCCTGCCCGCCCGCGCTGCTTCAATCGGCTGCCCGCGCAGGCCAGGCGCGTCTCCAGACATCCGACGCGTTGAGTGTTTTGATGCGGGGCCCCTGGAAATCCCAACTCTTTCCCCATGGCCGCTTCTTCCTCCCGAGTCGTTCTCACGGCCCTGGGGCCTGGCCGAAGGCCCCCGCAGGTCGGACACGGCCAGAAAAGGTGCCGCTTGCCCCTCGCTCTCGCCGCTGTGGGGTCGTGCGCGGTACAGCAAGAATAATGGAAGGGGAGCAGGCTAGCGGTCCGCCGTGGTGTGCTGGCACGACGCGAGCACGCCTGGGTCGCTCTCTCTCTCTCTCTCTCCCCGTCCTGCTCGTCTGCCTCCCCCCAGATGTGGACGCCGCCCGGAAGGCGTACGGACAAAAAATGGGTACGATGCGCCGTAGCAAAGGTTATCCCAAACCGACAGCGGCCGCTGTTGAGCAGACGGCCTCCTGCCTCAAACGGGCAAGGCCCGCAGCGACACAGACAGCGAATCCTGCTTTAGATGGGCAGGAACTGCCGTCATTCTTCGTCCCCATCTTTTCCGTACCCATTTCGACCTCGAGCCCAGGGGGGTAGCGAGAAGGGGTGGGCCCCCAAGAAGGCCCAGAAGTCTCCCTGCCCACCGAGAAGTTTTGCAAGCCCTCCCCGAAGACACAGCAAACTCTTCAGAAGGCCGAAGGGCATCTGAGAGGCCCCGCCGCCTTCTAAGAAGGCCTCCTCCTCCTCTTCCTCCTTCTCATTCATCCTCTCTTTCGCCGCCGACCATTTCGATCGCACCGGCCCGATGGCCAAGCAGCTCTGTCCCCTCCCCCTGTTCGCCCTGGGCGGGCGCCCCTCGAGCACGGCGCTTGCGCGGGGAAGCCCCATAGCGAAACAGCGGGGGCGTGCCATCGGTCGCTCCCACGGAGAGTCGATCCGGGGGAGCGTCAAAACTGGAGGGGAGGAGTCCGGTAGGAGGGATGGGGAGGAGGATACGGGGGGAGGGGACAAGGAGAGGAGGAGGAGGGAGGATATAGGATAAGGTACGAACAGCTTAAGGAGGAGAGGAGGAGGAGGAGGAGGAGGAGGAGGAGGAGG